CTTTTTTCACTTGAAGATTTTCTTTAATAAGCAATACTTATTGGCTGTCCACGTCCAGTGCTTGCGGGTGATCATGTGACTTCATGGGCCCAATGCCAGAGAAGTAGGATTTAATACGAACTCCGGCTATAATGTGATGGTATATCACCCTAGCTCGTAAAAACGACACCGAAGATTCCTGCTCAACAACTCAGCAGGATGAAAAAGTATATGAATTAGAATTAAACTGGAATGTCTTACAGTCATCCGCAGCGCGCACTCACTCCTTTCTCTTCAGCGCTGGCCAAAAAATGTTGCTTTGTGTAGCCTACAATTTGTCGTACAGGGGGAAATGACTGTTTCTAAAATATTACTTAGACATGACGTGGTCAAGCTGCGGCTCATCGGGGATTTAGAAAGGACTTGGACATCTCCCGCCCCAAATTCATATAGCAAGCATAAACGGACAAAACCTCCCGAATGTGTATCTTCAAATTGGAATGTAAGGTATGACTTTCACGTTTATTTGAAACAGCTTGTTGTGTATCTGGTGTCAGAGGCTGCAGAGACGTGTCCTGCAACTATATCCTAAACCATCGACACAGCTGTTCATGCATGCGTGAAGTCGTAAACGTTTTAATGTCTGGGCTCTGTGGTAATAAATTAATTACTCGGTGTGTCTTAATTTAGAGCATCTCCTATGCGTAACTGGTTGCATAATTGATTTCTGTCGTTGTGTCCGCTTCTAAGATTTATAGCATACCATGTTAAAGAAACCATGGATTCTGTTTCTTGTAACTACTGACCGAGATCTACTAGATCCCAGTCATATAAACTTTCATAATGTAATAATAAATGTATTAATACAAAACCAAGAACTTATTTTAATTAGTCATGAGCGATGACGTCGCCCTAATTAATAAATCGACACCACTGCATTAATAAAATGCAATGCATGTCTCTCATTGAAGCAATCGTGTATATTAAAAAGAAATGCATAAATACCTTTAGACCTAGGCTATATTTCGATCATTACCTCTGTATTGACAAGGTGCCAAGCCAACATGACATCAACGGAAGGCCCGCTGTCAGAAAGACTCAGGAGGGGACACCAAATGTGAAAACTCGTATATTTGTGCATATGTTGTATAAACACGTTCAATTAGTCATATAATTCAAATAGCAACAGCATGTCTTTATAACATCAGTATGAAGTTTCTAAATTCTGGGAACATATAAACTTAACACCCCAGTGTTAATGTGGACATTAGAAAGAACACTGGTCGTATAATGACAGCTTTACAACTAAATAATACAAAATATTTTTCTCTTGTAATCCTATGCACTCTTAATAGACTTAGACTGCAAGTGTTAAACATACATTTTAAAGTAAAACATATTGTCTAAATATTGTGGTCCGTTCCTCCGATATAAATATTTGAATAGATTTTTTTTTTTTTGAAGGAGAGTAAATTATCCTCCACAATTGTAAAGTTTTTTATTATTAGCATATATGTGTAGCATATTTAAGCAATATTTATTTAATTTGGTGTTTATGCGGTTAAATTAATAGCAGTAAAACACAAATTCAAAATCTGATGGAAAAAAGTTGAGTTATTTCACTGTAATGCGGATAAATCTATAGAATTACTTTTCCTATGTGCTATTTGTAAAATGGCGCTTGGCTGCAAACATTGCTTTACCAGCCCCCACCTCTGTCCTCTTCCCTAGAGAAGCTATAAATCTGTTGTTGTTTATGAAAATTTACTACTTTGCCGACCAACTTTATGAGCTACCTCTAGCTCCTATTGGCTACCAGTTGGTCACGTGTTTTAAGGCCACATGAACGTTAACTTTGTATGTGTATGCATCCCTACCCAAAATAGAGCTGCATTCTTCTCCTGACCTTGCTTTGTCTAGCCTTCTTTTACCTCCGCTTTTCCACATTTCGTCGGTTGTTAATTTCTTGTCTTTTAATTTTGATATAGCCTACTATTCTACATTCACTGCCATCGAATTGGGCATTGCATTGGCAGTAAAGAGAGAACTGCTTATCTTGTTTGGCACACTATGAGATGATTAAGAAGCTTTCCGAAGAGCTGTGAAGTATTTTTCGTCACCAACCTCTGTTTCTTGCCTTCGTG